CAACCTGCACCATTCAGGAATTTACACAAACCCCAGCATACACCTCAAGCTTGTATACAACTTTTTTCCAAAATGTAGTACCAGTACAAATTAAGCTTTACCTTAACAAAAGGTCTCATTTACAAATACAAAAGGAAAAGCGTTTCAGAGGTGCTGAACATTTCTCATAGTAGAACAAGATTCTATTTCTGTTCATAAGAGATACCTAACAAAACCTCTTACAACACTACCTTTTATAAGCACTTCTTTTCTATTATGAGAATTTCATCTACTAAATTTGAGCCATAACACCACACCTTTTTCATTTGGGGATCTTTAACTAGTTCCTGAAAGTTTTCTTAGCCTTGTGTTAGATGTCATCAAACAGATGTGCAGGGAAGAAAAGGTTGGTCACACCACCAGTCAGTTACAGAGGAAGTAACAAAATCCATGTGAGAGATTTATGTGCTCTGCTGTATATTTCTCATATCTATTATTATTTTGCAGTTCTCAAATCAATTTACAAAGCAACTGCAAATTTTCTGGGAGTTTACTGGACAAAATAATTCCCATTCAGAGACCCAAACTAAATTTAGGGCAGGATTCACAGATTCAGATAAGGAACAATTCCTAACAAGTTTAGTCTTACCAAGCACCCTGAAGAGGGAAGAATGTTGGTTACTAGAAGGCAATGTAAATGGTACCTCCATCTTAGACATAAATTCTAGGATGAAGCCACACCTGTTCCTAGCAATTTATATTCCTCAGTAATATACACAGAGCACTTGTGCATTGAACAAGACATTTTCTGCCTTCTTTAAAAAAATCACTGTTCACCACTGCTAACAAAACAGATTCAGACAAAGTCTTGGTGATACAGAAGTATTTTCTCTGTTATTTAAACAGATATGGTATCTGCAGTAAAACAGGCTGCTCTTCGACCCCAAAGTCACTGATACCTTGCAGGTAATAATACTGAAGATGTCACAGCCAAGTCCTGTCTGCATGATGTGGGTCACTTACCCTAATTTGTGAAGCAAATCAAGATCTTCCAATGCAAAGACGGTGTATTCAAAGTGTTGCTTACCCCTAGTGATAACCTGAAGTGAGAAAGGATGTAGAGAGAAAAGACAGAGGTGCAAGAGAAACATTACCCAGCTAAGACAGTTTTCACTCCACAAATATGTGTTAACTGCAATGCTTAATTACCCAGAGATGGCGAAAATTGAGACGTAGCTGAGGACCAGCACCCGAGGGTCTCTCAGTCACCTGCGATGCCGGACCCGAGCAAAGCAACCGCTTCGCCTCTCGTCTGGCAAACGGGGGCACAGGAGCAGAGCCCGGAGGCCGCCCTGCCACCGGCTGCAGCTGAGGCGGCGGCGGGGCACCCTGAGCAGGGCTGAAAGCGAGGAGCAGGAGTGACGGCGGGCTGGAGGAACTTGAGCGGCTCTCGCCGCCCGGCCCGGGCCCGTTGCCCTTGGCGAGGAGCTGCTTCGCTCTCCCCACCCACACCGGCCCCTCGCGTGCGGCCGCCGCTTTCCCTCGCTCGGCTTTGAACTACCCGCCCTCACCAACCGCTGCCTCCCCGCCCCCTCCGCGATCCTGAGGAGACCGGGAGCGCCCGGCCGTGCCCGGCCCAGCCCGCCCCTCGGGGACGTGAGGGAGCACCGGCGAGGCTTGCCACGCTCCTCACGCTTTATGCTCCAGCCCCGCGGCCCCCGCCGCACCCAGCCCACTGTTGAAGCGCCCCTGAATCGTTCCTGTCCCTGCTCTGCTTCTCCAGAGGTGCGCAGTGAGGGCGAGGTTTTCCCGCCTCTGCCAGAGCCCAGTCCGCTCCCTACGGTGGAGGGGAATGGGGGGCGGAGGCGCTGAGGGGCGGCTGAGGGGAGCCTCGGGTGTGCCTGAGGCATTCACAGCTGGTAATCCTTATCTGCACCATAGCCTTTAATCTTGCGTTATAAGGGTGCTGTTAATTTGAGTTAATTAACACCTTTTTGCCTGACAGCCCAGGACTAAGCAGTAACAGCGTTTGTCAAGTACATCACCTTCAAAGCAGTCGGGAGGAGGATCCCCGACTCCAGCACCGCATACACTGTCCTCTAATCTCCCCGTGTACTTTTTGCCAGAGATTCCAGGAAGGACCATTCTCCCTGGCTACAGCGTAGAGCACATTTTCCACACCTTGCCCTGAGGTGAATGGCCTTGTCCTGTTTAATTTGTTAAAAAGCTTATAGTAATTCAGAAACTGGCGTCTGGGTTTTGCCAGGGTTTTACCCTGGCTTTAGGGTTTTTTTGGGTTTTTTTTTGTTTTGTTTTGTTTTTTGTATACTAAAATAAACCCAAGCAAAAACCCGACCCAAACACAAACCCGCCAAAACTACCACTACAGGGATGGCTGGTTTTCCTGGGTTCGGTAAGGATAAACGTGAGGCTTCTCACCGGAGGGATGGGGAATGTCAGACCTGAACGAGAGTCCCAAAACCGGCTCTAAAAGCAACACCTACATTTTAAAAAGCAAACTCCCGGCTTAAGTAACGTGACCCCTGCTCGTGGGGTCTGGCAATTTCTCAGCATTCCCCTTTGGTAATTCCGCTCCTCCTGGTGTGAGGCAGCCTGAGAAGGGCTCGAGCAAGCAAGGGATTAAAAGTTCCCTACCCAGAGCAGGCGGAAATCTGACTTTTTAGGGAAAGAATATCGGTTTATTTGACTTCAAGGTAACAGTTATGGCTAAAAAGGAAAAGGCTCTTGGAGTATCTTCCCCCTTCCTTTTTAAAAGAAGAAAACATTAAAAACTTTCTTTAAGGTAGTAGAACTTTTCTGAAAGTGCTTTCTGTAGTACCGTCTGTTTCTCAGAAAATGAATAAAATTGTTTTTCAAATATTTGTATTTATTTATAAAATGCCTTCTCAGTAAAATTGGAACCTTACTAGTGGCACACAGCCACTGCAAGCTCTGTCTCTGTCACTCAAACCTGGATAGATTCATGCGAGCTGAATCAAAAATATCCAATAAATTTAACAAGTCGTAATTGCGACATTTTATGGAATACACAGAAGTGTCACACTACAAAGTGTGTTTCAACAAAAAAAAGTCTCCCTCCCAAAAACCCTCCCCAACAAAACCACCACGCAAACAAACAAAACAAAACAAAACAACCCCAAACAAACAAAACCAAAACCTGAGAACGCTACTTCGAACAAGTGAAACGAGGTGGGACATTCTGCAACACTGGCCCTGCGCTCGGTTACGGCTGCATTTCCTTCCCCCGTCTGAAGTACCTGTACCCCTGTGCCTACCCCGTGTCGACACACAAGCTTTTCCTCTCATTTCCCTGCCAATTCCCCAAAACTATTTCACTTTAGAGTACAGTGGGAGTCTCTCACGCACTCTCAACACTGTCTGCTACTCTAAATCCGAAGGAGCATCTTTAGAGCTAGAATTTACCAGCACATGGGAATGGGGTTTACCAAAGCGCTCCTCTCGTAAGGGGCGGATTTTATCGGAAACGGCTGAAGTAACCGAAGCTTTAAGATCTGGCAAAGCATTCTATTTTTTCAAGAGAATGTTTAAAGGATGCCAATAATCAAACGATTATATTATTTCTTTATTAACAATGGAAACATTATTTTCACAGGATTAACTGAATTCTTCATGGAGATATTTTTAAGTCCTTTTAAATTTGTCGGTTGACAAAGGCGTTTTTAAAATACTAACGAGCCTAGAGAAATAATACCCGGGGCGGGGGGTTGTTATTTGCTTTCTAGGACTGGGTAATTTCTTACCATGCGTTTACCAAGAAAGAGCTCGGGCTGTTTTCCTCCTCTCTTTAAACCCCTTGGTACCCACCCATACCCGCGGCTCTGTAGCAGAGGAGCGGATGCAAGTAGCAATACCTCTGCCATTTACAAACCATTTTTCTTGCCCGTGCTTTATTCTGGCACCCCAAAAGTTATGTTTAGCTTTATTCATAAAGAGCAGTGTGAAGAAGCAAGTCTAAAGCCATTACTGTGATTTCATTTCGCTTAATCGAAACACAAAATTAGGAAAACTACAACTATTTATTATTACCCGAGTTCATTTTAAGTAAGATACAAGTCCTATATGAAGGTGATTTGCTGGTAGGAGAACATCAATTAATTACAACTGATAAAACCTCATCCGTACTAATTTGGATGCTTAGGAAACGATTTTTATTCAGCATTTAGAAACAGAAAGAGATCTTTCCTTAATCCAGGGAACCTTAGAATGATCTAGTAGTTTAAATTGGCATATTCACAAAACATAGTATTCGTTAAACATGGGGGTGGGGGGAGAAATACAGCAAAGACATCTAATTCTGCAAACTGTCAGTCGAAGATTCAAAATTCCTACCGCAAGGGAGGTGGAGCCAGTGACAAAGAGCAAGCGGCGCCGTTTCAAATCTTGCCTGCACTATTTTATTTCAGCACATCGGGAAATACCGACATATGAACTTCTTTCGTAACAGAACCTTACACTAAAAATGTGCAATATATATGTTTGTGGTATGTAAGTTTGGCTTCATGTGGGTACGTATGATGCCGACCACGGCATCAAAATATCAAGATGCCGGGTTTATCCACGAAATTTTAGGTAAAATGCTTCTGAAAACAGAGAGGACCTTGAGGTAGAACACCTCGGTGATTTAAAACTCCGCAGCCGTATGACCAGACCTGGCGCGGGGCATTCTCTATCCCGAATATGTTTGGTACAGCTAAATAAAAGAATAAAAACACCGGGTACCTTTGGGCTCATTTTACCTAGCCATGCAACTGCCTACTCTCTTCACTGGCAACTGACGCTGCTATAATGGAAGCCTGTGTCTTAAAAAAATCTGTGTGCTTTTTTTTTTTTTTTTTTTTTTTTTTTTTTTTTTTCCCCAGGTGGTTAGCGCACAGCACGGAATATTCATTGCTTTCCCAGCCTCATTACTATTCACGCACGGAGGCCGGAGCTCCGGCGGGGCCGAGCAGGGCCCGCCCCGCGGGCGCCGCGCGCTCGTCATCGGCGTGCGCCGGGGAGGCGGTGAGCGGCTGCGGCGGGCCTTCGGGTGTTCCCTTCGCTGCTGCGGGCCTTCGGGTGTTCCCTTCGCTGCGGCGGCTGTGGTGGGCAGGGAAAGGCCGGGACCAGCCTCGTGGGCTTCGCTTCTGCGTGCCAGACCCGCAGGACCGCGGGGGAGGTCGGAATTGGGGCGGGATGGGCAGCCTGGGGCCCGTGGCTGTGAGAAGGGCTGCCTGCCCTTCTTCGTGAGCTCTGCGGGACGTGAGCGGGTTGGCCTCCTTTACGGGTGCATGAAAGATGCTCGGAGAGGGGGTCTCATTAATATGCAAAAATATCTGAAGCGAGGGGTGCCAAGAAGATGAAGCCAGGCTTCTCTTGGTGGTGCCAAGCACTAGGACGATAGGCAGCAGGCAGACCAGCAGGCAGAAACTGAGGCACAGGATAGGAGGAAGAACTTCTTTACTGTGCGGGTGACCGCACACTGGAACAGATTGTTCGGAGAGGTTGCAGAGTCCCCCTCACTGGAGACACTCAGGAACCATCTGGGTGCACTCGTGTGCCATGTGCTCTAGAGTGATCCTGCTTAGGCAGGGAGGTTGGACAGATGACCCACTGTGGTCCCTTCCATCCTTTCCCATTCTGTGATCTGGTGAGGTGACTTGCACATGGTATCCCCATGTCTCTGCAATGGATTCTGGCTGCACCCCAGCACGTGTTCATGCATGAATTGGCCTCTTGGCTCTGTCAGCTTGGTGGCACTTAGTGCTGCAGGGTGTGTGAAGGCCAGCTGAGCTATGGTACCACCTTGCAAAACACAGAACTGTAGTTCACTGCTGCCCTGAGCAGCAGTATAATTTTGCTGCACAAGCAGCACTAACCCAAGTTATTTAGCTACAACTGTCATCCACTTTAGTTCAGCTCTGTGTTTTAGAAGAGTCTGCTGTTTTCCAGTGGTAATGGGTGACTACTCATATCTTACTGCAATGTGCTAACACAAAAAAACTGCAGCACGTGAGTTAAGATGCCACTATGACACTATGATTGTGGTGTAGCATATTTGAAAGCTGTAGATTTTAATGGATTCTTTCCAGTTCTCCTAAATGGAGTGACATAGTGGGAGTTTTAAAAAGATGGTTTATTAAGTGTTGATCAGGCTCCTAAAGTATGAAATGTCCCTGTCCTGTTTTCAGTATCATAGTTTTCCCAGCTGTATTTATGCTGAAACAAACTCTAAAGATGAGAGAAATAATATTTGCTGTAATATTAAGCAAAAGCATCTGAGAGCTATCATTCTAAGGAAGCATGAAGAAGGCTATTCACTGGCATAAGGGTTAGGAATTCTTGTCTTCTGTGTCAGACAGAAGAGCAATACAGAAAACAGCAGCCTCAAAAAACTTAATAGGAAATGTTCTTGTCTAGACTTAAATTTGGTGGGGGAAAAAAGTGTTTATCTATGTACAGTAACCACCTTAGAATTCACTGTTGCAAGTACATTTACATGTTAGAATAGGATTACTTAAAGATTTGTAGAGTGTGGAGAATATGTAACTATTTAGTCTGATGTCATGAAGAAATACTTGTCTTCAAATAAGTCTGAACAATCAGAACCATTGCAGGACATTGAGAGGTGTTTGGAGAATAGAGTTATTACTCTTGATTTGGTAGGATTTGAAGGGTCGAATTTCATCTCTATGGCCCCTTCTTGTTTGGGGATTTGTTTTGCTTTTTAATTTCTGCTACTCTTCTGTTCCCAGTTCAGTCTGTTCCCAGTATTTCTAATACCTTAGAACAATAAATAGTGTATCAGGTTAGGTAGTGTGTCAGAGGGGGACAAAAGATGACAAGGCTTACCTTCTTTGTTAGCACCATTGTTACATGAGTTGCGTATAAGAAATTATTGAACTTTATATTTCCAGGAAGAAAATTCTTAACGTTGGCAGGAAGGAGGAAAAAAATATTACTCATTGGTCATTAATGTTTAAAATACTGTTTAATAGCTGTCCTCATTGTTAGAGGTTTTCTATATCAGAGTGGTAAAGCTCTGTAGAACCTGGTGTTACTTTGCTTATACGAAGTTGAACTAAATGACTTTCTGAAGTCTCTTTCAACCTGAATTAACCCATGTCCTGTGCATCAAATATAAATGGAATTTGTTTGTATTTACTTTTAAGGAAGTGATTTCATGTTCTCTTATCTTTGGTTTGAGATATTAAAGTGACTGTGTATGCCTTGGAAACAAAAAACAAACCAAAAATCCCAAACCCAAGCTAATGTGCATGCTGTGTATTTTTTGTTTTAGAACATGGATTCACAGAAGGACGTTCAGCCTCCAAAGCAGCAGCCAATGATTTACATTTGTGGAGGTAAAGAAAAAGACATTAGTGATTTTTTTATTACTTGTTACTGGACATTTGGTGTTTTAATAATGAATAGTGCTTTGTCATTATACTGAAGGGTACATAGATACAAATAGTTGCGGTGTATATCCTGATGATGTTTAAAGCTTTATGCAGTGATGGTGACACAGGTATGGGGTACATACACAGTGTTGTGGAGGTAATTCCCTAGAGCTTGTGTTGCTGTGTGGAGCTCCTCAATCCCTGTGTGTTTTATTGACAGTGCTGCAAGGGCACTCAGCTTTCCCTGAAGTACAGTAGTCAAATTCCATCTTACCTATAGATAAATCAACAACTTAAAAATTGGTGATTTTCAGGAATCCCTGGAATATTTTGTCTTTTAAGACAATAGACTTCGGGCTTTGGAGGGATGAACTGAAATTTTCATTAGTAGATGATCTAGTATCAAGTGTGGAATGTGTTCTGTGCAGTAATATTTGAGTGATTTTTAGCAAGATTCTCTTTTATCTTAATTTAAGTGAAGCTTGCTTTTTGTTTTCTCTTTTTATTTATTTCATGGTATCTTGTTGTCACTGATCTCTTGATACAGTTTCATTACACTTGCTGTGTTTGTTTTCCACAAATAGTAATTTGTCTATCACAACTTTTCAAAGTGATCTGTGCATTAACAGTGCTGTTCTTCTTTGCCCCCACTTCCTTTTTCTTCCTCCATAACATCAGAATGTCATACAGAAAATGAAATAAAGGCAAGAGATCCTATCAGATGCAGAGAATGTGGCTACAGAATAATGTACAAGAAAAGGACAAAAAGATGTATCCTTTTACAAGTGCACTTGAATACCTTTGGAAAGCTGTGGATGGAGACAAGGGGAAACAGAACAGAAGATTCAAAAAAGTCACATAGAAATTCTTCAGGGTCAAAAATCAATACAGTAGAGCAAACTACTATAGCACAATCTCTGTCTGCAGTGTTATTTGGCACCTGTTTTGGTTTTTTTTTCTGGCACTTTCTCTTTTTTTTTTTCTATTTTATATGCATGATACGTTAAGTTACTGTAGTCTGCTGGGTACTGGGTAACCTACTGTGAATTGTTGATACTATTCAGGGTCTTATTAAAGATCACTTTTGAAATAATTTATGTAGAAAGTTGTGATTAGACTTAGACAGTCTCTTTTCCTCTCCCCCATTCTTTTTTTCAAACACAACATATTTTTTTCTTTAACTGCAGTATTCCAGTGGTAGTTTTTGATGCTCGATGATGTCTGCTGAAGATAGTGACTTCATGATACAATCTTTTCTGATAATTTTGTTCTGTAAAACTCTTTGTGTATAAATGCACACTTTTATTTGTGTTTTAAGAGATTGAAATATTAAAGTTTACTGTAATACTAAATTTTGTCTATATTGTCTTCCATCAATAGATTTCTAAAGCTGTTGTTTAAATTGTAGTCAAAGTATGCAGTATTTTTAAGGCTCAGTGATAATTGTATTCTTTTTGAGTTATCTTTGTTTTCATTACTCGCATCTAAACTTTATTTGCATTTTAACTTTGCTAAACGTTCTTTGGACTCCTATGAACTGCATAAAATCACAGTGGTTTGAATAAATTTTACTGAAAATAAATAGAAGGCTATAGAAGGCTAGATTTGAAACGGATCTGGATTTCAAAAAAAGAGAATCTAAAAGGATGTCAGATCACCCGATTCTGGCACCCAGTTGTGGACTTGTCAAAAGTATTGATGTCTGAAAGTGTGAAAAAATCGTTTCTCCTGAAAGAAGAGGGGGAGAGCAGTTTAACATTAAGAAGCAGTGTGGAAACAGAAATTTCTTAAGTGCTGTTTGACTTGTTTGTATTCAGGAAAAGAATTAGATCTGTGTTACAAAGATTATTTGGGTAGCACCCCCAAAAAGTGGGATCTTGTTTTGCTTTTCAGATGACTTTTCAGGGGTCTGTAATAAGTGGTGGTTTGTGATGATGAGCCAAAACTTTTTGCATCTGGCTGTTTGTAATGTGTGTTACATAATACCACTGAAGGCTACTACAGCATACCGCTGGTTTGTGTGTGCCTGGTGGTGCTAACAGTGCTGAGATAACTTGCTTAACTCATCACTGTAATAATATCTTTTTTAAGGTCTGCATGACTGTGCTGGCTTGTAAATGAAATGCAGTGATTTGTTATAGGGGATAAAAAGAGCATTCTGAGATGCTGTTTTGGAGCTGTTAAGATTTTCTTATGTACCTGATCTATGTTATAAAGACTAGATTTATTTTTTTTTCCTGGAAACCAGATACGCTCGGGTATAAATGATAGCCTTTCTTACTGCACGGTTGCTATCAGTTCACAGCCTGGCCTGCGCAGCGTGCACTCGGCTGCTCGGCAGGGTGAGGAGGGGCGGGCACGAGCAGCGCTGCCGAAGCTCGCCGGCAAACGGAGGCGGGCTCGGCCCCTCTGGCTGCGGGACAAAGGCGGCGAAGAGCCCCCGGCGCCCTCGGGAAGGAGCACGGGCCTGCTTTGGAGAGCAGCGCCGGGGCCGTGCAGAGCTGACGGGCAACACTGCTGCGGGCGCCTGGGGACACCAGCGTCGGGAGAGGGAGCGCTTGCTCCCGCTGAGCGAAACACTACGCTGAAACCCAAGGGTGATGCTCACCAGGGCTGCACCCCCGGGCGCTGCATCCCGTCCCGCCCTCGGCTGGCGCTCCCCTCAGCCCCGCTCCCCGCCTGAGCCCCGCCGCGCCTGCGCCGCCTGAGCGGGGACCGGGCGGTCCCGGCTGCGGGGCGGGCAGGGCCGCGACCGTGTCCCGGCGACAGCGCGGCACCGGGCAGGTGGGTGCCGAAGAACGACAGGCGACGGCAGTGTCGCCGCCGGAGCCCGGCGGGGCTCTGCGGGAGCCTCGGCAGGGCATGCCTGGGGCGGCGGGGCGCGTCCCCGGCGCCATGCTGTACATAGCAACAGTTGCCGGGCACGGGCGGCCCCGCGGCCGCGGAGCGTGAGGGGAGCCCGGGGCCGGGCCGGAGCTGCAGCCCTGGTCCGGGCCGGGCGTGTCTGGGGAAGCTGCGCTGGAGCCGGGCTGTGCCACCAGCAGTCCTGCTCACCGCGGTGCCCGAGAGCTACGCTGGGCAGCTCCCTCCCGGCCACGGGAATAAACGGGAAAAACCGCCGGTGGTGATGAGCTTTTAATGCTTCTGTTCTTCTTTAATGATTTCCTGCATTTATCCCTCTTTCCATGCCTCTTCTTCCTTTTCCAGTACTGAAACCGTAAAGTCTTTGGGCAGAATCTCTATGCAACACCTAATTATGACAAGTTATTATTTAAGTGATACTTAAATTGTATTGTAAACATTTTTGTGTAACTACAAATTAATGTGTGTAATTATGCAAGACATTAGAACACAATTATTTTAATTTAGTTTATAACTACACATGGTTATTTTCGCATACTAGCTAGTTGCCCTTATTGTATTTCATAAAAATTAACTGATTGCTTTGTGCAGTATATAAAAGGGGGGGGGAAGAATTTCATCTCTGTAGAGCTTGTGGTCAACACAGAAAAAGATGCAGATGAACAGATCAAAGGTACAGGGAGACAGAAATGTCTGGAAAAGATTCAGATTAATCCTGTAATATAATTGGAGACCCAAAAAATGCAGTTAGTGAGGAAAGAAAATTGAATTTATTTTGTCTACAGAGAAGACAGATTTTCGTTCCTTTAGATATGCTCCATTGGTTAATGTCTTCCCTCTGAAAAAGGAGTGTCCTTCACAATCTTCTCCTTTGTGATTACCCCACTTGGTTAAAACAGGTATGTGTTAAATAAAACAGAGAATGTGCTAGGCAAAAATTGGCAATTTTTCTTTAAGAGGTCTTTCTGAATTGTTCTGACTTGCAGTAGCGTTGCATACTCTTACAAAGCATTTTTCACACTTCTGTCAGTAAGCCTCTTGTCAGGGACAGTTCATGTGATCAGGCCTTCAAATCTGGTGTTTTTTCTTTTATAGCTCTGCTTGCATGAGAGAGTGGGGTGTGAGCAATTTTATTCCTTAAATTTGCATTACTTCAAAATGTAATTAGAAGCTTACAGAATCACTTTTTTTTTTTCTTTTAATATTTAGTTATGGGTGATGAGTCAGTACCATATTTCCTGGGTGAAGGAACCACTAAAACATATCAAATACCTATTAGTCATCTGGACTACAAATTCATTGAAAAATGCACAGATGTTAAGCACCTGGAAAAGATTCTCAGGGTATTAAGGTAAATTTATTTTTTTACCTTCATTAATAATTATATTCCTGTTCTGTAAAATTTGAGGGAACCCTTTTCTATTTGTCTGAACCTGCCTGTGACTTTCTAATTTAAAATCAAAGTACAAAGTTAAAGTAGTCATGCTAAAAGTATCCCAATGATAACACTAGAAATCCAAGTCCTTTTTTACCCACCCAAAAGTTTGAGTAGCTCAATGCTATTTTTTTTTAAATGCTGCCACTCTCTTTTAGTTCTTTCATGATCCATGTTGTGTGACTTGCAATTTCAGGTGCCACACCTGCTTAACTTTTACTTTAAATGACACAAGTTTCTTTTTTATGAGCACTGTGGTGATATTTTGAACTGTGTATGTGGGCATTGGGAAATGGTTGAAGGTTAACTGGAATTTTCTACTAAAAATGTTATTAGGTGTTTGTAAAATTGGGTTGTATCAGGAAAATAGTCCTCTGCAGTCACTGTATGGACTACACATGGAGGATGTGGTGCAGTTCTTTTTTGTTAACATTTCTGTCTTTGCATTTGAAAGGTCTGGTGAGGAGGGGTGTTACCCTGAGCTTACGTTGGCTTGTGAGAAGCGAATTGAGCGTTTGGATCCAAGGAGCAGAGCTCTGAGAAAAGACAAGCCTGCAGCCACAGCTTCTGATTTCACAGCTGAAGAATGGCAAGCAATTAATAGTGAACTGATGGTACAGGATCTAATTTATAGTGGTCCATAATACAATCACTGTGATCTATCAATCTTCTTCTTGTGCCTAAGTAGAATGTAATTATTTGATTAAAAGAGGAAATGATCAAAGGATTATGTTTTAAAATTTATTTTCTTGCTTAATGTCACTGAACATTAACTGCCCATTTTAACTCTACAGATTTTTTTTTGAGATCACTTTTTATTCAAAAAACCACTAGTGCTCTTTGTCTTAATTGCTTTTCCCCATTAAGAGCACTGCTTTTTAAGGATAATTGCTCTAGTGCCTTAAGGTAAAAATATATTATTTATTTTCAGAGCTGGCTGACAGAAATGAATGAAGATGATAAGAAATCACAGTTCCTGAGAACAGACACACCAAATGAAAGACAAGATAACTTGCCTCCCATTCGTTGCTCCAGCAGCTGCCTTCCCACTAATCAGGTATCTCCAGTTTTTTGTGTTAATGATACGTTTTTCTAAAACTGGGAGATTTTATATGTATGAACTTCTAATCATTGTGCTTTCTTACTAGATTTATTTTGTTAACCAGAAAATAGAAACCTTTAAGCTCCCTTGCAAGAGACCAATGCTAAAACAAAAATGCTTTTATAGTATTAGCATGTGTATTGCAATAATATTTTAATTCTGATCAAGAATTCACTGCCAAAGCAGATCTCCTTAAACAGCCTTTTATGTTCTTTGATTTGTATTTCCAAGTACTGCTTAAGCATGTGAACTAGGCTTCTTCTGGATGAAATTATGCCAGGAGATTTTCTCCAGCTGCCAGCAGGCTTTTGTTCCATGGGGCCAGTCAGAAGCCAGTCCAAAACAAACACTCTGGAACTCGGGGTGGATGTTAGAGCCTCTGTTACTCTATAGCCACTCCTGTACTGGGCAGTGCTGGTGTATATGTAGCCTTTGATTGTGTTGGTATTCCCACAGCAGTTGTACAGCATACTTCCTAATTTAGCCCTTAAGCAGACTTAAATCTTCATGACTACAGAAAAAATTAATATATTCTTTCCCCAGGTATTAATTTCCTTACATTTTGGTGGGTTTTTCTTTTTTCATTTATTTATCTGCCTGATATCAGTTTTTTTTTCTGGCCAGCTTTTCTTGCTAATACTAAATACAGTGGTACTGAAGAGATTGGCAGACAAGTAGGTATGGATGGGATTTTTCTGAATTGTCAGGTATTGTCACAAGTCAGTTCAGTTTGATTCTCAAAATTTTCTTTGAAATTCTGGGACACTGCAATAGGGAATTCATTAAGCATTGTTCTTTTTGGAGATTTGTGAGTCAGAAACATTTTGAAGAGATCCTTACAGGTCGTGTGATCTTTCTTACTAATTCCTATTTTTCTTGAATAATTATGTGTTAGTAAATGCCTGATTTGTGTTCTTATGTTGTCAGAAACTACTTCTTGTTGTCAGCTGGTACATAGATGTTGGACCAAGACATTTGGGATAGCTAGGCAGTCTCTGTTATGTGGTTATACAAAAGGCTGAGGTTATACAAAAGGCTGAGGATTCCAGTGAATGTTTTGTAAGTGGTTGGTGTTGAAACTAAGGTGTGCTTATGTTTGGTTTTTTTGTGGGTTTTTTTTTGTTTTGTTTTGTGTTTTTTTAAATTAATGTGTGCTCTTTCATATTTTGCAATGTATGTTCCT